ATGGCACCAAGCAGACCCCTATTTCTTTTGAAGCCTTACTTGAGCAAGTAAGATACAATGAAATGAAGGAACTGAGCTGTACTAACAGCCCAGTCATTCATGATGTTCTAACCAGAAACCACTGATGGTTTCTGATTTCTCCAGGTAGCCTGTCTGGCATGCCAGAGTGCTCCTCTGCTCTTTGGAAATAAAGGAGTGGTGGTAGAATGAGACACAGGTACAGAGCATGTCACTGCTCTTGAAGCATATTTAGAACAGTGTCAAAACTGCCACCCTGACATCCATGAATCATCATGTTCTGTGACTCAAGGACTATCCAAACTTACATCCAAGTGCTCCTCATACACAAGGACCAAAAATGTTCTGCTTACTCAGGTCAGAAAAGTTGTTTCAAAGGCACACAATATGGAATGTAGGAGAAACCCGGCCTTTAAAATGAGGGTTTTGGACACAGTCAGTGTGGCCGTCTCTTCAGTACCTAGGGCAGGTACTGAATGTTCTTGTTCTTCCTTTCCTTTTTTATGTCATTGTATAGCTCTGAAGAAGTTTTCATAAAGACAGCTAGCCCAGGAGACAGGAGCAGGTTTCCCACATGTGTTGGAAGGCAGAAAGAGATACAGCTTTAGTACCAGAAATTATAACATTAACATGGATCTGGGCTTTTAACATTTGTGTAGTTTTGGTTCCTCCTGTAGCTTATCAGAGCTCTCTTTGCCTGGGAGAAGGGAGTTGTCTCACAAATGATCTGTTTGGGGTATGCTCCTTCCTTTGTGCATTAACTCCCTTTTTCACACATGGGAGCAATTAAAAAATTTTTCAATTTTTTTTTTCCTTTTAACCATTTGTTGCCACAATCCCTTACCTCTTTATGTCTGTTCCTCTGCATGGAGACAAAAAGTATTGTAGATGCCAGCACTCAATCTGAGAAAGGTGGAATTAATTCTGAAAGCCACAGAATTAAGTGAACCTGTCATAGGATTCTGAACCACTTCTGAAAAGAGGCTGGATTTCATTTCAACACTTCAGTAATGAAATTCAGTCATGAGTAACAGTCTCAGGAGAGGTGAGTTAACTAAAGGTCTTCATTTGCAGCTCTCTTCTGAGCTCTCATGGCAGTGGGAAAGCTCAGAGCTGAAATGGGGATAAGATGTCACACAGAAGATGTTTTGTGCTATTGATTTAACCTGGGGTGGACAGAAGGAAAAGGACTGACAGAAAGGAAGTTTGGGCTGTCCATGCAGACTTGTAGCTCAGCAAGGTCAGTTTCAATAGTGACAAGACAGTTTTTGTTGCTATTAATCCTTTTCTGACCTTGCATGGCAGCACTGCTTGGGTTTTTGTGCTGTATCCAGTTGCATCCTGCTAGAAAAGGAAGGCATAAAGAGCACACTGGAAGGTGCTCTCTGGCCAAAAATCTCCATTTGCCTTCAAGCCTTTTCTGCCTTCAGGCTTTCTGGCATGCCCCCAGTGAGTGTGCACAGTTATTCCATTAATTTGTAGGGTGCAGCCTCAGCAGGTTATTTTCTGAGTTGGACAAGTCCACATCCATGTTTTGGTTTCCATGAACAGAGAGATGTGGGAGGTTTAGGTTTTGGGAAGCTCTGTCAGGTACCACACACATGCCAGAGGTTCTGAAAAAGCAGGTTTGGATCAATGGCTTTGAGGACAAGCATTGCCACTGCTTGATCTTTGAGAGTCACTGTGTATGGGCAGACTGCTGCCCAATTTCTAAACTTTTCAGCCTTGTGATTTTTCTGGTATTCAGGAAAAAGGTGGAAAGTGATCAGGTTCAGCAGCTCTTACACCTCCATACCCGTGCAATAAGTCTTTGGCAAGAAACAACAAAGGTGTCCATCAGATTTTAGGACTTTGGTTTTCTGTAGATTGAATTTTTGACTAAAGGAAGAGATAGCGATGTCCTCAATAGCAAGAAGGATTCCTGGTTTTAGTTTGTTTTATTTATTTGAGAAATATAAATGGATGGAATACAAGAGCATGCTTTATTATTTTGTTGTTTCCCCCTCCTTCAGAGAACAGATGTCGGAGTTCTGCTTGGTCATTCCAGCACTGAACACTTGCCTTAAGCAGCAACATCCCTTTAAAAAAAAATTAAAAAAGAAAATGAAAAGTTGTATGCTGTGCCACAAAGCACGTATGACTTGCATTTCTGAATTCTGGCAGGAAGTGAGGCAGGAAAGGCTTTATTAGAAACCTTTTCCGAAGAATCTATAATGGCACAATTTAATTGAGTTGGCAAGGAACTCTGGCAAGGTGCTTGAGCTCCCATCACACGTGGACAGTTATCTCTGGGTTTTGCCTGTTGTTGTCTCTTGCCCTGCACACTGGTGTTTTAAGAGAACAGTGTTTGCTGAATGGGAGCATGGAGGTGGAAACTAAAGAGAGTAACATTTTTAACATTTTCAACCCCAGCAGAGTCTACTCTGGCGTGCAGCACGCTGCCTTTTCCACAGAGATCTGTGTGTTCTGTGGAGTGTACCAGACTGAAATGAAGCATTTGCAACATTGATTGTAGTAGCATCCTGAGTGCTGTTATCTGTATGGATATGTGTGTAATGATACTGCTCTGAAGATTTTCCACGTGCTCTCCTCTAAGTCCAGCTCAAACTACATGCAGAAGGTGTCACCAGTGCTGTGAGAACACTCCTGAGCTTCTGCTGAGCTCCCTTCCCATGTCAGCTGTCCTTCAGAGCCCAAGGAAATAAACTGCTTCAGGCTACCTCAAATTAAGCTGGCAGTCACCTCATGACTGTGGTCCTGACTGTTCTCAGCTATAAGCCCTTCTTTCTGGTTTGCTGCCCTGTTAACAAGAAGTGCAGACCTGGGATTTTGAGTAAGGGCCATTTGAACTGATGCCTTGAGAGGCTGACTTAGAAGAGAGGCTAGACAGAGTTAAAGTAGGTATTTACTAAAATGCCTTAAAGGACACTCCTTGGGCAGCACAAGAGCCTGGCCAGGGCTACACCAAAGAAATGACCTAGGAATGGTCACAAAATGGACAACCTGCCATGAGGTCTCACATTTTTATAAATTTTGGTCAATTTGCATATTGGAGTTAATTGTCCAATTACAGCTTCAGGTTATGAACTTCTGTCCTTCTTGTTTTCTCTTCAGCCCACCATTGTTTCTGCTTTTGGCCTGAAACTTGTAATGGTTGTCCATGGTCTCAAGCTGGAAAAGGAATTGTTTTGTCTGCCTACCCTGTGAAGAGAGCTCACTGACATGTAATATGAAGCTCAAAACAACACACCTGGGGAAAAATATGAAAGCTAAAACTTAAGGCATCATTTCCCATGCAATCAGTATGTCATCCACATATTGAAGAATAACTCCTTCTGGCTCCTGTCTTTTCCAGTCCTCTAGCTCCTTTGCAAGCTGGTTTCCAAGTATTGTTGGGCTGTTCTTGAAACCTTGGGGTAAAACATGCAAACACAACAGCTGCACCCACCAAGCACGACAGAAATCACACGTGGAGTTCTTCTCATGGTGTCCAGGTCCCGTGGTGTCACAGCTCTCACAGCTGAGAGCTGAGTCCTTGCTTCCTCAGCCTTCTCTTTTTTCTCTCCTTACCTGTTTCATTTTTCAGTGCTGCTGTCCTACTTTCAAACATTTCTCTTGCTACTGGTTGTAACTTCACTCTCAAAAATGTCATTCTCCAAGATGTGGAGGGGCATTGCTCCAGGACCAGGAAGGATAACGTCACTCCTGCTTTTCCTCACTATTTCAATACCTGTATTTTGATACTCATTTTGGAAATATTTTTCATTTTCTGCAAACCTGGCCAACCAGCACTGGTGACTGAAGAGCTGCTTCTCACACACATTTTTACTGAGGTGTAGTTTGTGAGGATTGAAAAACCATTTAGCTGGCACCTGCCAAGCCACTAATTGTGCCTAACAAAGTATTTTATGGCATCCAGCAATCAGTACAAGTAGACAGTAAAAACCTACTATGTTTATTTTTATTTCTTAGTAATAAAAGTAGGCTTATTATATACTGTGCATACATATAACATATATAAAGTTGTTTTTTAGTGGGAAATGAACAGCTTCCTCATCTTTTGTAGTGTGTTATAGATGTTCACTGACAGAGGTTCAGACAGACCTTTAATCTTAGGGGGATTAAGTTTGGCCCTACCTCTTTCTGAAACTTTGCATATAATATTAAAATTTAATGTGTTTCATCTTGGTTTTTAAAAAAGTGCACAGATTTAGTTTCTAAAAAGAAACGGGTAGAGCTAAGAAGTACCAATTTATAATGGCAATAAAGCCAAAATGTCTTGAAGCTTAAGAGGAAATGTTGCTTACTGGCCCTTTTTTCAATATAATAATTGGGAACAGTGGGTTAAAATTCTCTTGAACTTGTGTTCTTACTCTTGTGAGCATCCTGAGCTATCTGCAGTTTCATACGTTAGTAATATGTTGCAAAGAACAATTTAATTTGTGTTTTCCCTACGTTTTCCTTGCTGTTCATAGAATATAATTAAATATGCTCTTTAACCTGGTGGTGGTGTTTTTCAGCAGTATTACTACTGAGAATAGGCTTATGCCATTAAAATCACAGTAAGCTTATTTTTTTTTTCTCCTTGCCTTGAAAAACCTACTGAGTATCTCAGTGTATTATATAACAATATTCTATAATAATTGAATATTCCAGATCCATAGTTATGGTTTGGGGTTTTTTTTCCCCCTTGCCTAAATTTCCTCTTCATTTTTTGCATTCTGAAGTTGCCATTTCTTATTTTCTGGTATCTTTCGTCATTTAAGTCTCCATATGAAAGCGTAAATTACTGTTTTTTATGTAGAATACTCAGAAGAGAGCAGGACCAGTGTATTTCCTGTTTCAATCCCTGCTTAACCCTCAAAGTTTTTGGCAGGTGGCCTCTAAGCAGTGAGTAATGCTAATTGGAAAGATTGGGGGCTCATCTGTGAAATGCCAGGGTAAGGAACTCACAGGTGATTCTTTCTTGCCTGCTGCATCTTCCTTGCAGGCCTTTGTTCTTAAGACATTTGATTTTCTGTAGCAAAAGCATCAAGGAGAAGAAAGGTGCTTCCTGGCTTTTTCCTTTGAGTTCCCAGACTGCTGGGGAAGATGGGAAGAAGAGAGGTAGGCATTATTTCTGCTTTATAATTAGGTCAGTGATTTCAGTTTGTACCTAAAGTGTTTGAGCTGAGTCAGTGGTGGATCTGCAAAGGCAATTTTATTTTATTTTGCTTAATTTTGTTGTCCTGACAGATACATTAGCTGCTAAAGAGAGAAAAGCACTTTGAAATGAAGCTGCTGTGCATTTCAGTGATCTTGGCCCTGGGTGTCCCTATCAAAGCCTTTTTTCTTTTTCTTTTCTTTTTTCATCAAGAAAAAATACTGTGGAATACTTTTTTTTTTTAAAGATCTGTGTTTTGGGTGAATTCTTACAGGTCAGCACCTGTCAGTGTAAGGCAGCAAGTACAGACTGTGAACTGTGACAGTCCTTTTGGAATAAGGGTTTTGAGAATTAAATATGAAATGAGCTGGAGTAAGAAGTGGGAGGATGTCCAGAGAAAAGGGCTGGCAGAGAAGACAGAACCATTGAAAGCAGGGGCTTTTACAGCTCACAACCAAAAGTTGGCATTTCTTCATCTGCCGTGGCAGCTGCTCTGCCCTTTTACCCCTCTGTACCTGCAGGCACAGGGGAGCTCTTTGTGCTGAACAGAAGCCACCCAGGAATTGTAAAGTAAAGCATTTTAAAGAAATAGATGAAGAGTGTGACCTCTCTTCCAGTGGGAACATTTATATCCATGCTTATTTCTAAGGGACCTGGGGAGGAGCTGTGAGGTGAGAAAAGAAGAGGACGTTTACAAGGGAGATATTCTTTATTTCCCAGTGATTCACCACCTAAAAAAACTGCAAAATGTGAGTGTGACATACAGCTGCATTGGGAAGGAAAGGCTCAGTGATTCATTTTGTTTGTTTTAATTGAAGAGTGATTGGAAAAACAACTTATTATCTTAATAAGCCTGCTCAGTGTTGTATAGTAAAACCATTTACAACTCCCATTATGTTTCCTCACTGCAGAGGTATAAAACCCATTTTTTGCATCTGTGACGCATTGGCAATCACCATTTCATGGATTTTCAGGTCAGTATGTGAAAAATAAGAAGCCTTTAACAATTCTTGTTAAATGTATTTTTGGGCTAATATGTAGAAACTGTGATGTCTGCAGTTTGCGTCACGTTAGCAATGGTGTGTCCGAGGTGACTGTGTCACCTCAGGTGTGCAGGGAGAAGGAAGAGAAGCAGGGTTGTGTGAGGGTTTTGGAGCTCTGTTTTATTTCATCAGAGCCCATTTCACAAGGCAAAGGTAGGCAGAGCTTGTTATTTTGTTGATTGTGTCCTTTTCTATGCTGAAAGCGTGTGTAGGGGAAGTGGAAATTTCATGTTTGGTTTTCCTCACCCTTCAGTCCCTGACTGTTGAATCAGCTTCCTTTTCAAGCCTCTAGTAGCCCAAAAAGCTGTGTGATATAACTGCTGCTGTTTGGGTGGGTGTTTTAAAGGCATTCCACTCTTAGGTTATTGCTCCACTGTTGTGTGATTTGTATGGTTAAATTTGTTCTTTTCTGAAGTGATTTTTTAGTGGATTGCTGGATCACTGCGTCTAAGGGATGAGCAGAAGTAAATGATGATATATTTGGGGTTAGAGCTAAAGTGGGGGATAGAGCTCTGTATTGGATGTGGATTCTTAAATGAAAAAGGAGGTCTAAAATTAAATCAACTAACAAGAAATACAAAGTTGAAATAAGGTGCAGACAGCTGAAAAGCACGAGATCTTTTCTTTCTGGCAGTTTTGAAACAAAAGAAAAGAATTAGTATGATTTAGTGGCAGGTCCTCATAGAAAATAGTGTTATTGCAATTGTCATTACCTTCTCAAAGGTGTTGGTGTTTTTCACAAGTGCTGCCTGTGTAGGGCTGGATTTTTGGTAGTTGTATTAGACACTGCTATGAGGTGTTCTACTGCAGCACAGTAATTTCCACTTGCTCTTGCAGCAACAGATGTTCTGTATAAAGGTTTCAGATTAAAGAGGGGAAGAATAGAATAGTTATATAAATATACTCTGCTTCTGTTCCTGCAGAAAAAAATAAACTGTAGTGGAGACTCATAAATCAAAGGGAAAGGGAGCGTGCCTTCTGTATGTTAAGTCAGTTATGTGGCCTGAGGTTGTCAGTCAAATGTAATGAAATTCATATTTCTGCTGAAATTACTGTTTTCCGCTTCAGAAAGAAACACAGAATATTTCACAAGTTCATGAAATGCCATGAGTTATAAATATGTGGGTATTCTGTGCCTGCAAAAAAAATTTACCGAGGCAGTACAAACTAAAGTCAGTAATATTATTTAAATGCAAAGGGAATAGCATCATGGAACCTGGCAGATATTAACCATGGTATTTTTTTAATATTTTGATGTGCTACGCAGTAATAATCCAGTTGTGAGAGAGAAAAACACCATGGTCATGGGAGGACGTGTGCTGTTGTTTTGGCATGTCAGGATGATAAAATGGATTGTTGCCAATTTTGGTGAAAGGAAGGGAAAATTCTTTCTAGTCTCTTTGCTGGCTTGGGGGTGAAAAATGAAAAGCAAAACTTGGTGGGATGAGAGGGTGATGAAGCACAGTAAAAATGGTTCAGACTTCTTTCTAGAACACCTCTTCACGAAGTTATTAATAGTGACAGCTACTCTAATAAAAAAAGATTCTGTGATTCCAGAGGTGATGAAAGATATCTTTGTTGATTTAGCCAAACTGCTAACAAAACACTATTGGTGTGTTATTTTTCTCATCACCTTCAGCAGATGATATTAAGCCAGTTTGTAGCCATGAGCTGGTAGACACATCAGAGCAAGCAAATATGCATTTTTACTGTGTTACTCAGCATTATAACAGTTTGCCAAGACTCAGCCAGATTTATATTAATTTTTCATTTGTGGAATTTCTTTTTTGACTGACCAAAAATAGGTGCCCTTTGTACACATAAGTGTCTTTGTGGCTATACAAGGTTCCAAGTACAAATACTTGTAATTTGTAAGAAATGTTGGCACTTAACATACATGAGGTTACTCATTCAGGACCCACAAGCTGCCTGCCTGGAGAGTGCAGTGTGCTTTGAGGTGTGCATCATCCATCTGCATAACCATCAGCTTCCTCTGTGGCATTTTCCAGCTGTGCAGGAGCAGTTTCACCCTCCCAGAGCTACAAAGAAGATGATGGCAAAATAGCAACCAGCCACTCCACTGTCCTTCTGTCCTCCCAGAAGTGTGATTTATGCTCAATAACCACGCCACAGTGAGCTCAGATGCTGGGCTTGGTCATGGCACCTGGCTCCTCCTGGGTTTGTGTTTCCACAGCAGTGAATTCACTGTGGTGTTGGACTGTTGGGATGTGTGTGAGTTTCCTGGGCAGCCACATCTCTGACAGAACATGAATATTATTTTCTTAGGTTGAATCAATGTGGTTTTGTTGCTGTGGCTATTCTCCCTTGCAAACATCGCAAGACCTCATTTCCATCAGGCTATTGTTTCTCTCTGTGTGCCACTGTGCTACTGAAGTGCCTGTCTGAGCAGACATGAGTTTCCTGCAGGACTGGAAGGCATTCTGCTCAAAAGTACCCAGCAGCTGCTTTGTCAGTCAGGCAAAACCCTTGACACTTTTCAGGTTGGGTTTTCTAGGTGCCTGAATCAAAACATGATTTCTCATTTCAATCTAACTAATATTTCTGGAGACTTCAGGTTTTCAAATCTAGACAGAGAAGAAATGGAAACTTTTTTTGCAGTTACAGCAAAACCCAGTGGCCAGTGCTGAAATTCCCAGCAGATAGAGAGTGTTCATTATCTGTGTGATGGGCATGAGGAGAGCTGTAGGGCAGCATCCTGGTTTTTGGAAATGAGTATTGGACCTTTAGACCTGTCATCTGCAGGGTGAAGTTGGAGGAAGGGCAGGAGATAATCAGCCTAAGTAGAAATGCAAAGAGCATCACACTTTTAATCACAGGGACAGTGTGGGAATCATAAATCAGGGTAAGGGCTAATGGAGTGGTTACAGGAAGAACAGGTGATTAGGAAAGGTCAGACTTTTCTTTCAAGATACTTTAGCTGCTCACTGACCCTGCACAAACTAAATTTTTGCATAGCAGATATGATAAATAGAAAAAAGGATTATATCTAGGAAGAAATCAGCATTATGTAGATTTTCTCATGCACCCCTTTAATTGCATTTTGTGTACTCTGAAATATGTGTGCTTCTCTTAATCACATGTGGAAGCAAAACACTACCTCATTCTGATGGCATGTACAGCACAGAGTCATACAGTGTTCCTCTATTCCTGGTTCTTACTTCGTGAGGTTGGTTTTTTCCCCCGTTGCTGCTTCTCAGGATTGAAAAAAACAACCAAAACCCTTTATAATATGGGCTTCAATTTCCAGAAAAGAAAACCAGTGAAGAAACAGAAGAACATTGTAAAGTAGCTTTTCTGTTCATATAGATTTCATTTTCATACTGGGGCCAGCATTGACAAAACTGGGAAACCAGTTGTTGTATTTTTGTATCTGTTGCCTTAGGCTCAGCTGTGAGTCTAGAAACAGCCATCAGAATTTTGTAGTCAAGGAATGTATCACAACAATATTGAAATTTCAGGCAACTTACATGCTCACAAACTTATTTCTCTATGCTCTGTCAGTTATTTTAACCATAGATATTTAATCCTAAAAACCTTTTCTCCTTTGCTTTAGTGACCCTTTCTTAAGGCTTACCATGATCTTTTTACCTTTCCTCCTTGTACAGTAGTCCAGAATTGACCTACTACTATAATAGCACCTGGCAAATAAAGATTTCTAGGACCTCTTTTCTGTTTTGTTTTAGTTTTGCAAAGGCTTGGACTTCTGAAACAAATCTTACATCTTCAAAAATGTTCTTATTTTTAGTATATCTATAATAGTCCCTGACTGTAGATACCTTTGGCCTGACTTTGAGAAGTTCCAAAGTGTCCAGTGGATACATTGGAATTGCAATGTGCAAAATTACTGTAACCAAGTTTAATTTTTTGCAGGTAATTTGGTTGTGTCATTTGTAAAACATAACCAGGAGTCTGTGCAGTGTCTGCCTTCAAGTTTACATTTATCAATTTAAGAACTGGTTTGAGATCAATCAGTGCCACTGAAGTCTTGCACGTTGAGTGTCTCTCCAAAAAGAGATGCCTCCTCTGCCTGTGTCTTATCTCACATGTGTTTCTATATAATCTACTGGTAGATTTCTCCAGATCAGACAATTTCATTTAACAGCTTCTGGTCTTGTAACACGTTCCAGGGGTCTTCCAGAGCCAGGGAGAGAATGGAAAGCTCCTTCAACTCTGTGTAATGTGCTTTGAGCAATGTGTGAGCTGCAGAGCCTCACCTGTGCACCAGATTTGTGTCTCCTCCTTGGTCCAGCACAGCTGAGGAGCTCAGGGAGCGAGAGAGATGTGTTCTGCTCACCTGTGCAAAAACACAGTGCGGGAGAGGCCAGAGTGCAGGTAAGAATTATGAGCTGAATCAGGCCTGTAGGCCAAGAGTAAAGAGGATCTCTGTGAGTCCCTGGCAACTAAAGAGTAAATTGCACCAGGTAACAACAGTACTGGAGAATGGGATTCCAGCCCTGAAAGCCTTGCAGCATCTTCTTTAACAGTCTGACTTGCCTTCTGATACCCCTTGACTGCAAGCTCAGGATTTAACTTTTGGGGGGCTAACTAATACTGCGGAAGCTTGCTGATGAGCACTTGTAGCATGAGATTACACTTTGGTGAAAACAGAGTTGCTGTTGCAGAGTTCCTTCAGGCTTCTCTTCTCATTGTATTTGCTGAGTTAGTGGTCTGCAAGGGATACTTGGATGAAGGGGGGTTTTTTTCTTACTGTTTAGTTGAAGGGCTCTCCCTCACAGCTGGTGGGTGATCAGCTAATGTCTTGCAAAGTGGTGTTTTTTTTAAAAAGGATTGATGCCTTCAACATTAAGAAAAAAATTCCTTTGCATTAGTCCATTTTAACAGCCAAGGCAATTTTCCACATGGTGGCTTTATGGAAATGGGTTGCAGCTCTTGCCAGCCATGACCAGAACATTACAGGAAATGTATTTTCATGGAAGATTTGCTGCAATTGCCAACTGGAGAAAGGGAGGGAGGCAGGGGTTTGTTCTGTTAATGGACAACTGCGTGCCATGGTAGGAATCCCTCCTGTTAAATTAAATTGGTTTGCACTTTCCACTATTGCTTGTTCCATGCTGAGAGAAGTAGTTACTGATAAACCATTTCCCCATGTAAGAACTGACGTGTTGGTGTAGCATGACACCTCATGCTGAAATGGGGTGTACAACAAACACATTTAGGTGTCTGACTGAGATAATTTAAGTGGTACAAACAATTGGAATATTTCCATGGAGTGGCTTGGTCAGAACCAGAACGAATGGAAATTTGCTTTGCAGCCTTAGTGCTTATAGCTGGTAATATCTTACATGATTGACACAATTACTGAAAGAGATTTTAAATCTGCAGATATTACTGCAGATGCATGTCTTTTAGTATGTGAATAATATTTTTAAATTAAAAATTCAGCATGAAAGTCTGAAAGTTTGGGTGGATTTTGATGCACTGTATTTTTTTTTTTTTTTCCATAGCTCTTAGAGTTCAATACTTTCCAAGCAGAAGCAGGAATGATATGTGGCTTTATTTATATGTGAAAATGTTATCCATGCTGGGAATATATGATTGCTGGCAGGAAAAAGAACTGCATGACTGATTCCCTTTTGGTAAATATTTGAATTCCACTAGGTCCATTATCAATTCCATATGAGATCTTTTCCAGTTCTCCCTGAGATGAGAATAAAAGAGAAACAGAAGAGAGAAAATAGGTACAACCCCTAAGCTAAACTCCTTCTTTCTGTCAAAGTAGTTTGGACCTGTGGGGCAGAGAGATCTCTCAAATACTCATGTAGGGTCTTACTGGCTTATGTTCTCATTTAATTTTTTGCTGCTAGATTTCAGTCCTCTCTTGTAAGGAATTTAAACCTGAGTTCTCTACCCTGACACTGGATAGGTAAGTCTGTTGAAACAATTTAATAGAAATTTTACTTGAAATCAGCAGATGTCATTATAAAGAAGCACATGAGGTAGGTTTTCTCTGTAAGAGGAGAGTCAAACCAGACTAGAGTGGCAGTGGTAAGACCATCCAGACAGTAAATTAGTTTGTAAAAATAGTTTTGGACTGGTTGAGGTTTTTATAGTGATGTGTGGAATTTTCAGCAGTTGTGTTGGTTTTGCTTCGAATTTACTTTAGAAAGTTTTCGTGCCTAGTGTGTGATGTTTGTAATTATATGAGTAGGGAAAGAGAAAACAGTGAAGACCAATTTGATAAAACTACCCTGCACATACAATAGGTGTATTTCTTAACAAACTGTCAATCTGCTATAAAATTTTCATTATTAGTCCTTTAATTTCCCATTCCCAACAAGAAGGGATTGGTTTAGCTAAGTTTGCCTGCAGACAAACTGGAATGACCAATTGAAGTTCACTCTTTTGAGGAATACCAGATTCTGGATAGATATAGTTGATATAGTCCATGTGGTATATGATACATTTAAAGTCTGGTTTTAATTTTGATCCTATCAGCAGCATTATAACGTTGCACAGCTTATTCTGCTGTATTTGTGTTACACAAGGGAAGCACCAGAGTAAAATGGAATAAATTTGGAATTGGGAGCATGGTGGAAAGGCTGGGGCCTTAAAGGAGGTGACACTGTCCTGCTTCCTCTTTGTGACTGAACTTAGGAAATACAAGGTTCTTCTTTACCTCTTAGTAAAGCTTGATGATCCTAGTGAGAGAATGATAAGGGTGGATGGTCTCCAACCATTTCTTTACTGTTTTGAGTGTGAGATGTGGAAAACATGCATAAATCTGTTGAAACTGCAGCAGCAATTTAATGCAGAGCTGAGGTGGGAATCAGCTGTGCAGTGCCTTGTTTTGCAAGGGGACCAAAGGCAACCTTTTCCTGCTGCCCCTGATTGCTGCTCATCTTCTGAACAGAGGAATGTGCAATGAGCCACCTGCTCAAATGGATACTTGGGTACAGAAATGAAGGAGAGTGAGGGGGTAGAGGAAACTGAAAACAAAACTCTAAGTCCTGTTTGTACAGCAAACACAAACAGGGAGTGAAGCTCACTGTGTGATTCCTGCTTTTTCTTTGCCTTTTTAAGATTTTGTTTGTGGATAGCCATTCTTCCTTAGCCTGAATTTCAACTATCTGCACTCTTGGGGGAAGGTCTGGAGGTCGATAAAGCAGTCAAATGAGACACAAAAATACTCCTACAAATCAGCACTGCCCCCACTGTTTCCACCTGACTGGAGTGGCTTCTGTGGTAGATTGAGTATGACATGCCATCTCCTATGTCAAAGACATTATTAAACCAACGTACCATGCATGATTTCTTAACAGAGTATCACCAGAGGATTGTTAAATATTCACTGGGACAGGAAGAAATGGAGGCTTTTGAAGAAAATCAGGCTTTCACATGCCAACTGGCTGTTGAAAACTTGACAAAAAATGATGGTTCCTCACAACTGTGCCGTATAGTGCTCTTGGAGAGCTCTGTGTAGCTTCTTCCCTCTCTCAATCCTCTTGGCAAGGCAGCTCCTGACAGAGAAGGGGGCTGTGCTGTGTACCTGGATGAAGGAAAAGGGTTCTTTGCTGATTAGTAGATGTGTAATGGTGCTTAGGAAAAAGTGGCTTCATTGTTTGTGTGGTCAGTGCTCAGCTTTAAGGAGGAGAGATGAATGTGACAGGTGCTTGGTGCATGGCAGCAGAAGCAATCTGTGCCAGTGATTTACCTGCTGTGTGCTAGTAGGTGCACATAGCAGCAGCTGTGCAAGTGAGGGTAAATTACAGCGTCCATCTTTGATTTCTTTGTTCATTTGCAGCACGTCAAGTGATGGAGCAGTGTGATTTTGCTTATGCAGGAAGTTTTCTTTTCAGTAGTTGATTATTCCACTCACGTTTCTTGGATTTTTTTTCTTTTTTTGTGTTTCATAGTAAAGAATGGTGCTGGACTTGTGACTTGAGGTTTTCTGTATTTCATCGTCTTGACTTTTTCTTGTTGCCAGTTTTTCCCCTCAGTACCTGGCTGTGAGCACTGCATTAACATGTTTTGGTAGTTCAGTGCCTGCTGTATTTCTGTGATGAGTCCTCCTGGCTGGACTGGAAACGGATTTCCTTGGAAGTGAAAAATAATGGGCTGAAGGCAGTTTAGACATAGCTTCCTGTTTTTAGCAGTGCTTTGCAAAGGGACTCAGGTTTATAAGAGATCTGCATTGATTTTAAAAAAATCCAAGTGGCTCCTTGCTGCTTTATTTAATTAGAACTAGTTCCACAAGGGGATGTTTTAGTTATGAAACAGCCAGCCATTATGATCAGTGACTATCTGCTCTGAAAAAACTGTGGCCTCAGACGCACCTGAAAGGCTGCAGGAAGGAGCAGTGGTGCTTGTGCCTTGAACCCAGAGGCTGCCTGGCATTATCACCACACGTGGCTGGTTTGTTTCAGGAGTATCATTTTGTCACGTTATGCAATTGCATTTGTTGAGAAGGAGTCTTGCTAAGAGAAGGGTGTCTCAAGGTAAGAAAATCTGTGATGGTGACTTTGAGATCATGAGCCATAAACCAAAAATATTGTTTGTGTTAGTGCCATTGGATCTCTTTACAGGTTACAGAATACCTGTAAGGAAGCAAAGTTCAGATCTCCTTGCAGTCTAAACCAAATCCTTCCCTTTCCTTGGGTACAGGGGAAGGTCCCAGAGGTTCCAACTGGGTGGCAATAGGAAAATGCAGTCAGCTTCATCAGATACGAAGTAGAACTGAAGACACAAAAGAATTTAAACCCTTCCCTCCAATCTGAGTCAAGACTTGATCACAGATTGTCTCCTGTTGTTAAGGTAAAGAGAAAAGTCTGCTTTTATGGAACAGCTCAGTGGAAGCTGGATTTACATCTATTTTATAGGTAGGCTGGCTTTCTGCTTTCTCTTAAATGCTCTGCTTGCTGGGTGTTTGTATCTGTAGCTGAAGAGCTGATGCTTCAGAAAAGAAAATGCGTAAGGAGGAAGAGAAAACAGCTATTTCCTGAGCTGCTCTAAATTCATGTCGATGTCCCAGCATTAACCAGAGTTCCTCTTTGTGCTAAGCTGAGGAGTTACAGCTGAAGCTTGGGGCAGTGAGGTCCTGTGGCAGCCAGGAGCTCTTGTGCAGCAGTGTCACTGACAGGGGGAGCAGTGGGGTCCCCAAGCCCTGTACCCTCTAAGTTCATGGGAAATACTAACCCTGCATGTCTCCTCTTCCCTTTTTCCTAAAGAAATAAGCTTTTATTGTTATCCAGAAAAACACTGCTTTTATAACTTCACTGCTTTTTACTGCTCTGTGCCAATTGTAGAGACCATTTAAAGCTATTTTGCCCTCGATTTCTGTGTTGGGATAGGTAGGATCTGGGGCAGAA